AGAGCTGGAGCTTCGGTGGAGTGAGAGGCGGTTGCGATCGCAGGACATTGCAAACCGGAAGTTTGGCTGTTACTTACATCAGCTGCGAGACGTGGGTCGTTTGTGACGGTGACCGTAGAAGACATAAGAGTACGTCTAGGTGAAGGACGGGAGGTGGGGTGGTCTGTAAGTGAAGGTTGAGCGGTTGAGTTAGGACAGAAGAGCGGCATAGCAGTAGCAGTAGTGAGCGGTGTAGTTCATGATTCGTCAGTGGGCGTGATACTACCAGGTTGCCCAGGCCGAAGTAGAGGGTTGTCCTAGGGGGCCCTACCCCGAGCCTTTGATCAAAGATCTAACCTACAAGGCAGCAGAGCGATATGAGGGCGTCACAACCCGTTGGGAGCCGGTGACCAAATAGATGGCAGTGACTTAATTTATTGGCGAATCACATCCGCCACGTCGAAATGTTGTTAAACGGACATATGTGGCTTTTGTAGGGAGAACGCTTGTCAGGCGAAAACCCACCACGTCCTGGAACGCTGCCGCCGAACCATTCGCTGGAACGGGAAAAACCCGAACCACCCAGCTGGCACCACGAGGAGGTTGTTCGGCAAGCCACCCCGTCTTCTGAAGAACATCAGGATGAATAGGGGTATAGTGATAAGCGCGCATGACGTCAATATGTATAAACATAGTACATCCAAGAAGATGCGAAGAAAAATCGTGAAGGTGTGGAATCAGGTACCTATCAGGAATAGTGGTGCGGTTAAGTTCTCTTTACTCGCCACAGGGTCTCCAATCGGATACTGTTCTCTTTGCTAGCACATGCAACCGTGGTGACAACATGCTTTGAGATGGTAGGTTTATTCCTAATTGTATCATGTGTTGAAACGCATCCTTAGCGATTTTAAGTCACTCAGGATGTAGACTTCGCTGACAGGCAAAAAGTGGAGTGCCGCTATATTACCAGGAAGGGAAAGTTGCGTGTCGACATCTAGTAAAGGTTGACTTTGCAAATCCCCTAAGAGGTTGAAATGTGTCAGGAAATACTCTCGTAATATGCGTTGATGTACTTCTGCAATAACGAATCTCCAACTGAATTGTCGCCGTAGACCAAGGCTGCGTAGTGAGGTTGGTTGACCGTAAGTTTTACTACCGGTTCCGTTAGCTGATTGCAAGCACATAGAGAATGAAGTGCTGTTAACAAGAGTCGGTTGGAGGTAGTACGCTAATGTCCGCAACAGTATCGACAAGAAAACCGAAACCGGTGGTATGATTTAAAACAATGAGTTGGCGAGATTTAGATTGTTGTTGGCCAAAGATGGTGCTCGCCTCTATCCACTTGACTGTTCGTTTCCTGACAGCGGAAACTCTGGTAGCTGCGTTTGACGGAAGGAGCAGGGTTGGGTGCATATATGCGCAGAATGTCCGAAACGAGTTTGGTACCAACAATTAGTTGAAGCACGAGATGAAGGTCTTCTTGTTCGAGCAGATGAACGAGTAGTAGAAGAATAGCGTCGTATCAGTCGAGCTCATTCAGGTTCGGCTAGTTGTTTAGCCAAATCGTCGTGGCGGTTGTTAATCAAGTTTGGTAGACTGTGCGTTTCAACGGCGTGGATGTCAGTTGTGCTAGGCTGGATTTCTAAAATCTTGTCAGTGATATTAGCGAGTTGCATCAAGGGAACGCTGTCAGCTTTGCGAGATATAATAGCCTGTACATACTAAGGTAGACGCTGGTCCATTCACAAGAAAGCACCTAGACGCGCTGAAGGAGCTTAAACGCAATGAGAAGTTCATTCTGTGCAAACCGGACAAGCGTGCCTGGAATGCGTTACTAGACAGAAAGACTATGGATAAACTCACAACCATTCTGAGCGATGAGGCGAATTTTTCCTGCAACACGAGGGATGTTGACCAAACGGAACAGATTGAAAGACAGATAACTAGCAGTCTCCAACAGCTCCAGGCCAAGGGATACATTACCGATGTCTTGTATGACAGTGTTAGACCTTGCAGCACAAAGCTTCTGAGATTTTACGGCCTGCCAAAAATCCATAAGGCCGACATCCCGCTTCGTCCTACCCTATCAATGCTTAACTCCCCTATCACGCAGCTGCCCAGTGGCTTGTAGAAATTCTTGAGTTGGTGAGACAACGGCTTGTGACTTACAGTCTAGGTGACAGCTTTCTTTTCGTCGAGAACATCAAGAAGGCCCAGATAATTGAGAAAGTGATGCCCTCCTTTGATGCTGTCTCGCGTTTCACCAACGTCCCGCTGATCGAAACCATCGATTACCTTTGCAAGCACATAACGGTCGGAAATTGAAATTTGTATGACTATGCTTGAGCTGAAAAGCTTATTACTGCGGTGCACATTGAATGTACAATTTCTAATTAATGGTAAATTTTCCTGGCAAAATGTAGGTGTAGCCATGGGATCCCCTTCGGTCCGTTGTTCGCAGCTATATTCATGGCCAAATTGGAACGAACAAAATTGCAAGCGGAGATAAAATTTGTGACTACAACCGCCGTTATATGGATGATATATTTGTAGTGGTGGATAAATGCATAAAACTGGATGAGGTTCTCGATCGGTTTAACCGGGCTCACGCAGCATTGCAATTTACCTACGAGGCAGAAACTTGCAATCGGCTTCCGTACCTAGATGTCTTATTAACTAGGAGGCCAGACGGCTCCATCCAGCGGAAAGCCTACAGAAAGGATAAGTGCATTGGTCAGTACACGAATTTCCACAATTTCGTCCCCTGAGATGTAAGCGAAACATAATCCACCTCTCAATACAAGAACACGTAAAATGTATGCACAGAACACCCTGGATAAGGAACTTGCTATTTTAAAGAATACGCTGCGCAAGAATGGCTAGCCTGCTTGATTTGTTGCAAGAAATTTGGAAGAAGACCCCAAGCCGGTACCAGTTTTAACCACGGCGAAGAAGGAGTTATTTATAAGATTACCTTTTAAAAGGAGATGCCGCTGCCGAGTGCCTAACCAAAAGTCTTTCAGAGGCAGTCATGTCGACATTCCTAGCAGCCAAGTTAAAGTGTACATTTTCTATTGAACCACTTGGTTGTTCACGCAATAAGGATATGCTGCCATTGCTGACCTCATGTATGGTTATTTATCAGTTCAATTGCGTTTGTGACGCTACTTATATCAGTTATTGTCTAAGCGCGTGAACGTGCGCTGCCCACGCTGGTTGCGTCAGGGATGAAAGGGAGCCATTAGCAGCGCCGTTTTGGCCCATGTTGTATACACTGGGCACCAAGTTGTTCTAAAGCGTGTCTTCAGGATAATTTACTGGGTCCCCCAGCCACAATCCAGAGGTTTGCGCCTCCGTGCGCTCACGACAGCTGAATCGAGTTGCATTTGCTTGTTTCAACCTTCTTTATGCTCGCAAAAGAAGTTGCTGCATGCCTTACAGCTTCCCTGGTCAGCTAGAATGAACGATGCTGAGGTTGACTGCCACCGATCAAGCTCGATACCATGCAGGCAGGTCAAAGGTTAACTTTTAGCCTCCCTCACCGAACTGCTAATGCACTATGTAATTTGAGCCAAAGGCTCGAGTTTATCTCCTTCTTTTACCTTTAAATATGATGGTAATGGGCTGAAGAGAATCGTCGAAAACAACTGTTCACCTATGGTCTCGTATTTTTCAGCTTCGGAAATAGTTGTTTAAATTACGCGTCGTCCAGTTTTTGTGATCTCCTAATACACTGAAGACGTCTTAAAAACTGAAAAGGAGTGCGTCCGTCAAGTGCTTCGCCGTTACTCAATCGTTCAAGGTGCTTGTGTTCAGAAACGCCGGTTCGTTGCAGGACTACATGTTCAAGCCGAAAATAAGGCTAAACATCATCCGGTGACAACAAAATATCTCGTACATCGGCAACGTTGCTTAGAGGTAACGAGCTTATCACGGAATCTTGCGGCGCAGGTTGGAATTCGCGTAAGCTTGGGTATGGTGTTACCATGATTCTTTCATTACACCCAGGAATGGCGACAGCACCACAGTGGAAGCAACTCACAGTTCAAAAAGTTGTTATTGGCGCAACAAGTAGAATAGGTCACGACGTAAATGGATACGGAGAGTATTTGACGTCTTTCCGAAAGAGTGGAAGAATCGAAGTAAAAGGATTACCTATACAGAACTTTCACATCATCTATTGTTCCCGTGGCGGAGCTGTACGCTATCGGGCGCGTCCCCAGGTTGCGGATTGGGGAATGCCTTCCTTGTGGAGGTAATTGCGAATAAATCTTGTTTGCCTTGCTAGCGAGATGAATAAGCAGCTGCGGACAATCAGCGGTAGCGTCTCAGAGCGTGGAGAGTTCTGGGCTGGTCACCTGGTTCTCTATCAAATATCACAAAAGCTCGTACGGCGCTGTGTCAAAGCCAATGTGACCGGCCATAGGGTCACTGACCACTCAGTTCCATAACTGGATGTGAGTATTTGACGGAGGGCAGATGAACAAATTTTCTGACCACCGGCTTCGCTGTGCACTGCGACTGAACACAAAGAAGGCAATGGCGCCACCCGGATGTCAACGGTCTTCGTTAATTGCCCTACTGCCTTGCGGGTTAGGGGTGGGGTCCCTTAAGTCAACGCACTTCCCCGGCTTGGGCAGCCGGGAAGCTCTCCGCCCACGCAACACATGAACCTTCCAAACTTTGCAAATCCTTTCACTGACTATCAGTTTCCCTCTCTTTTGTCATTGTGAACTATGGGTTTTGGAACTGCCAATTGTACCTTGTTCAAGTGTTGTATAATATATATCATCTATTGTCACTGTAATCATAGCAGATTAAAAGGTTGTATTCTAGCAACTAACTCCATAACCGTTACCTGCCTCATCTACCACGCTCTAGTTCCTAGGTTACTGTGTCACTGCGCAACGACAGTATGTGTGACTACAGCATTGGCCACCGACTGAGCATTCACACGGTGGTACCGTAGCCGTACCTCATTCATACAGTCCAACCACTGGGCCCAAAAATAGGGAACTTACCTCAAATATTCTCTCGAAGCGAATACGCAGCGCACGCAGCCTTATTGATTCCTCATCCAGCTCCACTAGACTACCACATCGGCCAAACTCCACAATCTCCAAGTCTTCACAACAGTCGTCCAGACAGTCCACATTGTAAGGATTTATGATACCAGTATGGGATAAAATCGTTCCGCAATCAGCCGTACGCAATAATATAACCAGTGGATAAAGAGCCAGCAACATGAAGTTCATTCTGTCCGTCACTTTCAAGGAAGCACGCGATGTATGGCTCGAGTATCGATTAATAAAGGTTTGAACAATTTCGGAGCCTCACTGTGTGACTTTCATCATCCATGTCGAACAACCATGCTTCTATCTGAGAAGTGAATTGTTTGGCTTCAAATGCTTAACTCTAAACAGTAGTGTAGCAGTAGTGTTTAAGTTACTCAGTCACCCTTGACAAGGTCGAGGCTGTGATGGCTAGAATTTCAAAACGTTTGGCAGGATGCGTTATGCTTCTTGGTGTTCACTGACTCATCGGCAGTCGCGCTTGGCAAGTGGCCTGTAGCTTCAAGGGCGTACGAAAACTCAGCTGTTTGGCATGAATATCACCTGTGGAATTAGAGCGGTTTTTCGCTGTGGGTAAAGTTCCCATTCGAAGTGCCGTGGCATCGGTTGGAAGCTAATGAACGAGATGGAGCAATGGAACAATGGTGTATTACGGGTAAAAACCGATGCTTAATAAGTCCCGTGGGGTGGAAATTATTACGAAAATTAAAATTAATGATCAAGTGAAAGGTCGTTTTGGTGGACTCACCATAGACTGGTGTAGCATAGTGGAGATTTTGGCGCATTAAAAGTATAAATCCATAACTCCATTGGTTGGGAGTTTGGTAAGACCGTTTGATAATGTTTTGTAGCCCCTTGCTAACAAGTTATAAATTGAGATGCAGATGAGACAACGCATCGTCAAATCGCTTTTTTAATATCGCTAGATTGGGAGCAGAGACGACATTATTAGGGAGGACGTTCCGAAGCTGGTACACGCGGAGGGGAAAACTGTGACAGTGTTTCAGCTAGCTTGGTTGCCGCAGCCTTCAGTGCTTTCGGGTGGATGTTGTCGGCTCCCGGAGAGTTATGATCGCAAAGTGAGAGTCACCTCCTTAGCACAATTGATGGGTTGAAAATTACATGTGTAAATAGTGGAGTCGGTAATGTGCATGACATTATGGGACAGGTAGAGGCTGCGAGTTCGAAAATTGGGGCGTATTGTAGCCGTCTGGCATTAGCTGCTTCTCCAGCGCCTTGTACGCTATCGCCTGTCGTGAAAACTGGGGGGATGCCATGCTTCCCTTCACGAAGATTATTGACAGGCCTATACAGCAGTTTTTTGTTTGCCAGGAGTTTTTTGGCTAGACGCTGTTGATAAGTTTCTCTGTCCTCATGGACAAGTACAGTGCAATGGTTGTGATGGGTCAGGAAATTGCCCAAGTCGCTGAGTCGGGGTTAATCTTGTAGGCACGCCATGCTGCATCCCTTATTGCCAGATATTTTCGAGTCCTGCTCCTTAGAATTAAAGGTATTTTGCGGGACGAAGTGGCTTGATCTCTGTTGCTTTGTTGACAATGTCGCTGAGTATTTCAACTGACCCTATGCAAAAGTTGTCAAGGGGACTGTTGTTTGAGAATTCCCAAGCATATGCGCTGATGAGTTCTTTCGATACGTGGTAAGATGTGATTGTATGAGTTAATTCCGAGTGTTCAGATGGATATGCTGCATAACACACATAGTTGGACCTTATTACTACATGGTCACTGAGACCTAATGAACTATCCATCAATAACTTGTCAATCATGAGCTCTTCATTTGTGAGCACAAGGTCCAATATGGACGGTTTGTTTGCTGTCCTGAATCTACTGGGCGTGGTGACATGATTGTACAAGCGAATATTAGAGATCAGTTCATGTAAGTCTGCTTTGAACTGTTCACTGGGTGATGCCGATACCTCCAGATCGTGTAAACAGAAGACGAGAATGTGGCTGTACATAGTGCGTGTTACTCTGTTCAGGCCACGTATCAAGCGGGAATCCATTTCCGGAGTGGACATTGGTAGACTGTAAATGACAACCATGAGACATGTATCGTTGTGGCTTAGTTGGAGACGGCAACAGAGTGAGTCAGTAACGTGCGTATTTAGATCATCAACAATTGCACATTGCAGGTCGCTGCGGTAGTAGAGGAGGACCCCATCTCCTCTGCTGTGACAGTCGTTGCAGATGAATGGAATTCCTGCTACTCAACCTCAGCATCAGTCACCTATCGGTGCAACCAAGTTTCGGCAATAGAAATTAGCTCCTATGCATTCGCAACCTGGCGTAGCCGAAGAACGGCAAGTTTACTGAGTCTGCCCACACACAACTTCACTATTAGTTCACGATGCACTCTTAGTTACACATCGAACGCAATTTATCTATGTTGCGGTCGTCCAGCTCAAACACACGCAGCGTGCCGAATTTTGTGGAAAACTTGATGAGCAAAAGCTTAACTGTTTCGCCGTGTAGAATAGATAAGACAAAATCAGTATGCCGATGTACGCGAGGTCAAGCACGTAATGCTTTCGGCCACCAGTCGAACTTTTGCCGGGAAGTTTGGTTTACGATCAGTTGGGTTGCTCGTCAATAGGCTTTCCCGCGGACACGTCTTACATCCTACACCTTATTATGCTGTCCGCGACAAAATCTCCGACTGGATCCCCTTTGACTGACACGATTGAATAACCATCTCCTTCCTCTCTTCAGCGTTATATATAAACGAGTCTTCACAAACAGTACCGTCTTTGAACTGCGGAATGCTGCTATCTATCCCACCTGTACTGGTGGATAGTTGTTCTCCACACAGTCTGCAAGTCGTAAAATCCGATCAAAGTTCTTAGTAGGATATGCCAATCTGTGGAAACAACTACCACTGCAGGTTCACGTGAGATCAAACCTCATCAGATCCGGTGCAAAGCTAGAGACTTTTCCTACGATACAGAGCGTATTATTGACACTTGGCTCAAGGCGATTTTCAGAAAGATTTACGGATTCTAGCCTAGCCAAAAGTCTTTAGTCAACTTATGAAACTTTTAACATTGCCCAAGCAACCTTAAGGACCACAAGCCTGCCTCGTAATCTGAGGGCGCGGGTTCGAGGCTGCGTAGGGGACCCAGCGACCCTCGCAGTATCATTAATCCACATGCGACTAGTGGTGGTTGCGCGGCAGCGAAACGTAGTTACTACGTACCGGCGTACTGCTGCTTCCTACTGCCTATCAATGCCCATACAGTGAAAGTTGGGTTTGTTCCGCCAACTGTTTCCGACCCTACCAATGGCTGCTGCAAGAGTTTCTGTGCGAAGTAAGTTTGAAAATCTTGGCACAAACACTTGTACACAGTGAATACATTGTGGGCTAGCGAGTCGAAGGTTTGTATATTGTATATATGGAAACCATAACACTACTTCTGTGTACAAATGATCACCCCCACTTAGGAGTTGTGTTCTACTTGTCTGCAAAATACCAATTTATTTATTTGGTTAATATGCTTTTTGTAACTATCATCATACTTTTGTTTGGAAGCGGATCATACCAACTAAACTTTGCATCCCGAGACCCGCTCACGGGAGGCAACACCCTGGCCCAACACAGTCCACTTATGACCGTCTAGCAAGGGCGCGTGCGCACGTAAGACAATAGACTACTCAGCCATAATGTGCTATTCGTATCGCTCAGAATACAACAAAAATCTAACTTTCACAACGCGCTCCCAGAAATTCTGTAGATCTCACCATCTTCCCTATAGCCTTATATATACTTGAATAAATAAATAGATAAAAAGGGATATTCCTCGGCAGTGCGGAGCAGAGTCTAACTATGTGGCCTGGTTAATGTGTACAACAGGATCGCACAAAATAACTAATCGTTCATGTTTTATACGATGGATCCAAAACGGATTTCAAATTGGCAGGTTAAAGGTATTAAACAACTTGTAAAGCTGGGAACAATAACAAATATGAATCCAAACAAATGTTCAGATAAAGTAATACGGCCATCCATGGAATCGTCCCTAGGAGACCTGCTTTCATGCTAGGTATTCCCTTGAAAGGTTTTCCCAGCAATGCTGTGTCCTCCCTGGCGGTGTGCCGGTGTGGCAAAGTAGCATGTAAGCCACCACCAGCTTACCGTATGTTTTCTTCTTTTTAAGACTGCTTTTATGCATACGTTACGGGTGCTGAAGCCTCTGCTCGATCCATCATACGAATCATTCAATTATGGCACTTTTCATACGCCAGTCAGTCGGTGGCAATGTGCCTTGCGTAGGTACAGACTTTTTTAGTTTGGAGGCTACAATCCGTCTCCCCAGGAGATCAGCCTAGTGGTGGATAACAACGAAATCAGGAAGAATGTAAAATAATAAAATTCGAATAAAATAAGTATAATATCGTTAACGCCGGAAATAAGCAGCTAGCATGTTTTACAACAGCGCAAATTAGATCGACAGATCACACGATCAAATTGTGCGGCGTGACAGCCGAAGACAGATAACTGCACGAATTATCCATAGACAAAATGATACTAAAACGAATTTTCGGAGTCATTATTAGTAGCACGTACTCGTACAGTAGGGAAGTCGATAGCCGCAATCGCTGCAATCCGGCACGTTCTGCTGAACTGTTAATTCCGGAAAGGAAGGAAAACTGGTTCGTATCACTGAACAAATGTAGCGAAGAGAATCTCAAAACAAATATTACGCATTAGTCAACTTGTGGGGGATTACGAAGCTAGTTCCTGACCCGCGTTAAGCTTCACTGCTCAGCCACAACTCGAGTTTCAGACTCGTATGCACTATGAAATAAGAAACAGCGAGTGCACGGTGAAAAAAGCAAAGTCTCGTACAAAGCACTGCTCAAATTTTTCTCTGTAAAATATGCGTTAATATGGAATAAACTTCCATCAATTATTAGAAACTGCACTACTCATCCACAATTCAGACACATGATTAATATTCACCTGACTGTTGCAAATATCTGGTCAACACAAAGCCAAATGGTGGCTCTAGATGATTTGTATGAGAAAGGTCCTGGATACATATGAAAGTCACCATATCCTCCATTCGTTTCAATAATATAAGATTACCTACACATAGATGCATTCCTGAGTATATATTTGAGAACGATCTTACTCCTATCGATCCGTCTAACCAATTCTGTTTTCTCCTTTAACGCACTGGTTCGTAGATGCACTACGCCTTTCAAGCTGATGTCTCTGTACCATGGTCGTCACTCGCTAAGATTTTCCAGCAAATCGTGGT